TTTCGGACACCTGTTGATTTGCTGTTGCATCACGCGATATAGAAGCTGCTTTGGCTTTAATATACGAAGGTGTTTGAAGGCAGTTTCACACATTAGCTAGTTTTATCATATTTCGATTGAAACGGTGATACCCAGTTGTTTCGAAATCAAGCTTCCAGCAGCATAATAAAATCTGTTTATAAAAACATCCCCATGGTGTTTTCACTACTGAGAAACGAAATAATTTAGGTGACAGAGAACTATATTTCGAACACGGACATCCACGAAGCCATATGTTATGTTTTTTGATCGTTGGATAAGTGGATGCTCATATATCCTCTGATCCTGGTGATCAGTTTGCAAATGTTTCGGCCTCAACCGAAGTCACAGCATGAGTGAATGATTTTGTCTGCAGTACTTCCATATCTGTCTGAAAGAACACGTTGATCGGGAGAGTGATCATCTGTCCGCTGTAGTCCCACAATATACCCAACGACATATACTGTCTGATAATTTGGTTGCTGCTTATGGTGTGCATTCCCTGAACCCGAGTACTATCTGTCTGGGGACCATTTGTTCATGGTCTGATTGATGTCACGATCTCATTCCCCACTTTTGATAAGCTGTCGATCCGACTCTGGGCTAGGTAGTTCATTTTGATTGGTTCGTTTTGAATCCCTTTTGAACTGTAGCCTGATTTTAAAGAGTTTGTTTAAGTGAAGGCTCTTTCCTTTAGATAACAGTGTTTTCATTTGCAAGCCACTTCGCTTCATTACCCATCTAAACAAACTAAGTGCGGGATCGGAAACTGTGAATCGGTTAACACGCACAAAGTGCTCACGGACTGCGCTGCAAATCCGAATCCATAGACCATCTGTAAGCCAACGCTTCACTTCTCGTCATATGTGGATAAACAAGCAGTGGAAAATTCTCAAAAGATAGACTGTAACGTTACCAAGCCATATGGGACCTGACACAAGGCAGGTATTCTAAAAGCTGAAGGTAGTATCAGGGAATATCAACACGGATTGAGGGATTTCTAAACAACCAACCGAAAGGCTGCAAGTAGATTTCGTTTATACTTTATTCTTGTTTAATACAAGACAAAGAGTAAAGTCAAAATCTGAATCCGAGCAAATCAATATCGACCGACCACAAGTTGTACAAGACCGGGCAGATATTTGACCATTCACGACTGGGCACATCTGAATATTTTCGAAACTTGTTGACAATGGCGACAATGCCTATGATGTTATAATAAACAATATTTTGGAATCGATAAACCGGGTTTCTCTTGGAGTGAAGCAAATCGTTTTGACTGTCTACTGGGAGCTTTACTTAAAAGGAATATGTACCACATGACCTACGAGTATAGTAAACACGCGTATCGCGAAAACGAAACCGCTAGCCTGCAACACTAGATTTCTGACTGTGATCAACAAGTCCGTGAACAATGCCTACTTCCTTTTTAACACCTTCTTCCCTTCTTTTACAGGTTTCTTATCAACTGTCAATACTTTCGTGAAGATATACGGTTCGACGTCCTGAAACAAATAAACAGGCAAAATCAATTATTTTTGTGACAGTCGTTTTCTCCACACTTCTTCCATTCACAGAAACCATCGATTTACAGTCCAGCAAAACAGGAGAAATCGGGGATCTGCTTTCCATCTTCACTCAGATTTCTTTAGCGACGGTCGCTGAAACATGAAAACTTAAGAGTTGACTGTTGGTGAGTTTGCCGAGCATAGCAGTTGCATCAGGTGGATTGCCAAGCTGAACTCTGATTGAAATTAATTTCCAATCCTGATTCAGTGTCCATCGAATGCTGTTTGCCAATGGCGAATCCAGGAGGCACCACATTTCCAGAAGATAGTTCGCCGCAAACACTTCATGAGCATCGCTCTGTATCTAAGTTTGGGCACTGATAAACGCTGCACACAACCGGTGTTTCTTTTGACAAGAACGCTACCTTGGAAGGTTCGGATCAAAAACTTAGCTGTGAATATACCGTTATTACACTGAGCTTACTTGATACAGCGCAACCAGGATTTTACATTCGGTCGTGGGTCGCTTCAGTTTTCTCTATCACCTTATGACTAGTTTCTGTTCAAGTAAATTTACCGTTCTATATTGCAGTAAAACTGGTTAATCTGCTCAAGGTTACTATTGTCATGTGTCTTGCACCTTGTGTTACACACTGAACTAATTCATTTGATTGCTGAGCACGGGCTTACTTTCCCACGGTTTTCCATGACCACTCCCTTGTAAACATCTTCGTGCTCGTAGTCATGGAACACTTGGCCTTTGACCGCATTCCTGGAATGAAAGAATGAAAACTGGCAATGTTTTTTTTAGAAGAAATGAACGTGAACTTCAAACAGAAAGAAATGAAATGCTCGTTACTTCCGTTGGAATCTGGTTTTCGATCCTGTTTTTGAAGGACTATTTACGCCGATAAGTGCACCATATGGCACGCTCTAGATTGTTTTAACTGATGTATAGATCCCACAGTAGGGAGACAACATAGAGCGTTACACATTTTGTGTGAAAACATATTTTTATGTGAATATACAGCCGAACACAACTTGCATCATGTTTTATGTGCATATCCTCATCTGGTACCCTTAAACGTAATTCGTTCGTGCGGTAAACGGCGTACGGTTTCTAAAAACTCGAAGCAAGAACCAACTTTTCAAGTAAGTAGAAGGATTCCCCCACTAATCACAGCAATCGGCTATATTACAAAATCTTAAGACAACCAGTTTGTCCGCTGAATACGTGATCCAAATCATCAGCCGGCTGATGCCCTCAAACGATATCTTGGCATCGATGTTGATAATTTCAGAAAACTGACCATCGGAACGAAGTTAAAATTTGCTATTACCAGCGAACGATTACCACAATCATTGCAGTTGGATCTCGAATCTATTGTGTTGATTGCATCAGGGTTATATGGCGGTTAATGTCATGAAATGTCATGAAAATGTGGAAAATTTAATATGCATCTTAAACGACGCACACAACCGTAGTTTTCACAGACCCGATTACATTCAGGATTAATATACGTGAAGTCAACGGCTCAAAAATGGGACAATTGAAAGGCAAATAGTGAAAAGCGATTTCTACTAAATGATTACTCTCAGACGGCAAACATTGCGCGTACTATTTACATGTGATTGTTTGCAATCTCATCGTAGGCGAAGGTAATTATATTCAACGCTGGAATTTCGTTTGCACGCAAGACGTGACAGGCGTGAAAAAAGTTTGCCTGAGGGAAAATACAAATGACAGTTGAGTTTGAGATCACAGGCACTTGGGGCCAAAGGGGGCAAGCATGGTGACTATAGTCATGCATACTTGTTGCAGTTTCAGTTCTTCCAAAAGCATTTGGATTCATTGTACCCGCCTACTAATGTGAATGTAAACTACTCACGTGTATTCCCGTTAATTAACTGCTTGAATTTGGGAGTGGCAAATAACTTGCCAGATATTTGGCTGCTACGGAGCTGAAATAGATTGTTTGGTATTTTAACTCAAGATGTTATCCCTTAACTGAGGCCAAGCTCTGCCAGAACGGCCAGGTTCACTATGCAATCGATGCAACATTATTGAGAATTACCTGTATCGTAAACTTCATGCTCCTCCGGAGGGTTCCGAACCTTCACGGCAATCACTAGGAGCCTGAGCCCATTGGCCTCGAGCAGCTGGTAAGGTGGCGCCGAACACCATTTGGGCGCGCGGTTTGATAGGTATTTCTCCAAGAAACGAAATCACGGCGAATCGTCGTGTGGTAAATCCAAACTTATTGTTAATACTGTTTCGCTGCATTGGGTTAATCAGTTTCTTTGGACACCAAGACATGAGACAAGTATCCTTCATGCCTATCACATCAGCCCACACAGAATGCTTAATTGATAACCCATCAAAGCTGTTTTTAATATGCCATTGCGAATAACAACTAAGAGGTGTCAAATTTCATTAAAATGGTGTAAATTTAGTGCCAAAAGATATCCAGAAAGTGCATCACTGATTCTCTCGGGAGCGAATTCCTCAAATGCTTGAATGTGTTGCACATCAATGGCTGGATAGCGTCCAGGGTCTTGAATCACCATCACCATCCAATGTCATCAGAAACAGTCAGTCATCCGGGTAAGAAAATAATCAAAGAAGATTGCTCATCATACCAATATATTTTCTCATAGAGATGAAATGCTGATAACTGTTCATCATGAGATTTTGCGTCGGGTTTCACGATATATTTCAACCTGACCATCTGTTCCATATTAAATATTACTCGATTGCGCACAGCTCCCTGATTTTGCTGTTCCTTCTGCAGGTCGTCTTGAATGGATCTAGTCCCTGATACCTCGTAGAGTAAGTGACTGATTTTGGTCATTTCTGGACCAGCTGAGCGTCTCACTTAGAACTGCGATCATCCAAATGACCATGGATAACACACTTACTCTTGGAAGATGTCTCATCCACAACCATTCTAGATAAAAGGAAATTATGAAAGAACCCCAAAGGATGATCGTGTAACCATAGTCAGTCTAACTGATAATATGCTGCATCTGGGTCTTTCAGACAGAATGGACTTCACAGGGGCTTGTGTGTGTGTTTAAGATAGCGTAATTTTAACTCCCTTAATACTTGGAAATTTTCAGTTTTTGAATGCCATGATCAAATGAGACGTTTTAGTTCGTGTTCACTAATATTAAATACTTAGATGGTGTTCGCGAATAAAGAACATCTCGGTGAAGGGCATTCCTTGTTTAACTGGTGGTATCACAGCCTAATTTCAAGTATGCATTGCACGATTTCAATTCGTCTCATGTCACATCATCCGCGATTGATGTCACCAACCCGGTTCCGTTGTCTCCTGTATACCGCAGTCCGAGCAAGCGAAGCATTCTGCTTTCTTTCTCTTTCATATATCCGATATTCTCGCTTTCCTCAACCCGCGGTAGCGACATCCACGTAGGCACACTATTAGTATCAGGTGGCTGTTGATATGTTAGCCGAGCCTGGCAATTGATTTGCCTGCGGACAAAGAACGGATGACCGTTATCATGGACAAATCGGACTACGTAGACAAAGCAAAAGCTCTGCTCAACGACACTACCACGTATCGCCGTCTGGAGAATGATCAAACTAAAAAACTGAAGCGACTGAAGGACCTCTAAAAGATCACAACTGAAGAATATTGACGAATGAAAGCCAGAGAATCCAATACCCTACGCTTCCACGGACTCCCGAAAATACACAAGGAGACCACACCACTAAGTTTAATTGTGTCACTCCCAGGCACACCGACCTACAACCTTGCAAAAGAACTATGGAGAAAGGTCAAATATCTCATCAGTGAATCGCAACACTCAATCAGAAACGCACAACAGTTCTTGGATAAACTAAAGAATATGAGAATAGAAGAGGAGGAAACAATGGTCTCATTTAATGTCAGCTCACTGTTCACATCACTGCACCTTCACTCCTCAAAGTCAACAGTCGCTCAACTACTGGAGAGTCATGGACCTCCCAGTGGACCTCTGAGGAATGAAGACATATGTGAATTGCTCAGCCTCTGTTTAACCACGCACTTCGAATTCAACGTTGAATACTACGAACAATTGATAGGAGCACCAATGGGTTCCCAAATTTCAAGGTTCATCGCCGAGATTGCAATGCAAAAACTGGAGAGGACCGTGTTGCCGTACATCAACCCGAAGTTTTGGATACGTTATGTAGACGATACCTTGGTGATCATCAAGAAGAGAGAACTACAAAGAGCAATCCAATTGATAAACAGTGTTTCCGATGACATGAAGTTCACGGTGGAAGAAGAAAACAACAACAAGCTGGCGGTATTAGATGTCCTCGTCACAAGGTGGCCGAATGTACAAATGCAAACGCAAGTCTACATAAATCTACGCATACGGATCAAATTCTAAGCTACCGCAGCAACCACCCAAACTGCCACAAATAGAGCTGCATCCGGACACTATTCAAGCGAACTGAAGCACACTGCAAAACAGTAGAATCTGGAGTAAAAAAGAGAAAAGCCTATACTGAATCCTTCAAAGTAACAGTTACCCAAGGAATTTCGTTTAAAGATCTTTGACAAAATACAATTAAACCAACACGACTACCGAAAACACAAGCAAAACAATCACATCACCATATATCAAAAACATTTCGGAGATGACCACCAGGATACTACGATAGCATGCCATAGACGTGGCTCACAGACCGACTGACACGCTGGGAAGGCGGCTATCAAAACCAAAGGGAACACTCAATGCGATGGAAAAGGCGAACGTAATCTACAGAATTCATTGCAGCGGCTGTGAAAAAACGGGGAGGAAACTGTCAACCAGAATTACCGAACACAAACTCGCCACCAAGAGACATGAACAAGTCTTTCTCATCTCTGGACACGAAGATGGGGAAGGACACCATTTCGATTGGAATAACGTCAGAATACTGGGCCAGGCAAGAAGAAAGAAAGAACGCGAGTTCATGGAGGCGTAGTAATCCACTGATGGACCAATAAACAGGCGCATTCAGATTGATCCTGCCTACCAGCCTCTGAGGACAAAGGAAATCCAGAATCACAGAACCCGAGGCCGGACAAGCACATAAAGAAGAAATTAATAGAAGAGGAAGCCACTAAAATAGGTGACACGCCACAAACTAACAGAGAATTAAACCACGACGCAATGCAGATCAAGAACGGGCTAATCATAATCCAGGTTACAGCGAAAAGGCTGCTCTTTGTAGACTATATAAACGCAGGCACGAAGAGAGGAACTACCCGACCAACGGCGCGCTGAAGATGTCTCCTCGAATGGTGACGAAATGTTTGCAAATCAATAGCTAAGCTCCGCGAACAGATCAACAGCCACCTGATCAACTGCCAACCAATAAACCCGAACTACCAATATTCAAACACATTAAAAACACTAATCATATCTGAGGGATCCGGTTGCCTCCCATTGTCGTCAAGTGCAATATCCGAGTTCAGTTCGGTTGCCTTAAACGCTCAGAAATTATTCTTCAGTTCGTCTGTCAATCTTTAATGTTTGCGCTCTTAAATAATTTGCGCAGCATCCTTGTTCGCTGGACACGCTTCCCGTTTTACCAAAATGTGTATTTGAAATCCCATCACGGTTGCTTTACTGATCTCTCCATGGGCTTCCGCTAGCCACTAATCGCGCTAACCTGGTGATACGGGAGCCGCTGCTGCGCGTTCTACTGGGAATGGTATTGTTCTATATCGCAAAACTGGGGGTTTTCTCGGCGAATGATATAAGGCATTGATGGTATCTTTTTGGCAACACTTTGGATAATAGCCAGAAAAAACAAGCTCATATGTTATAGTGGTTGCCGAAGACGTGAATGCCCAAGTAGGCATAATTTGAACTTCCGCGAATCATTTGGGTGGGTGCAGAACAAGAGTTGAAATGCATGGAACACGGCAGACGCCTGAAATAATTATGTTTTGAAGACGGGCGGGAGTAACTTGCGAAACAACCGCTCCGCCAAATGGCGCTACTTTAGAAAATTCCAACCGGCAGCACAGAGAGACCACATCGATATTAGCTATGTATGGCGTCCCTCATTCTGAAACAGAGTGTAAACCCGTACCAAACGGTTTTTCGTCGCTGATTTACGTTGAGCGATTGCTGTATTTGAATGATGAACACATCTCAGCTGACTATCGGAAAGCTTTCGAAACCTAATGTTTAACAAGACAACTAGAACTAATATTGACGTCTATTCCGGACAAGACGACTTCTAGTGTCAAATTCTCCTTAAAAGTGCTCTCTGTAAGATGCTGAACACCACGGTGATGGAATGGTGCAACAAAATATAGGCGAGTACTGCATCTCGGCCAACACTCTGAATTTCCTCAAAACTTTGAAAGCTTTCTTCCAGATAGAGAGCACAATATCACTAAACGAACAGTGTGACTTCTCGTAAGAAAAGAACGCCTGTGTGGGTTGAGAACTTTTGTGGACTGAAGAGGTCGAGGAAGGAAAAGCATGTTGAGTTATGCATGCGCCATACCGGGTTATACAATCAACACGCCCAAGGAGGCCTTACACGTGCCTAGCTATCACTGGTGTATATGACCAACCACTAGATTAAACAATTTCAACAATTAATCCACTGATTAGCTGCAGCTTCTGAACTGGATTCATGACACTGAACGTGGAACATCCGAAGGCTTTAGAAATAATCAGTTGAATGTTATACTTCAAGAGTTACCAAGCTGCTGCTCCTGAGCCACTAAAAATCACTGGCGGTGAAATAATTTGCCGTTGTTTGTCTCACTGGTTTGCTTTTCCTGAGCGGAAGGAACAGTCTAAACCAGCTGAGTTGATTCGATGAGATCCTAAGTGAGTGTATCTGTCATCGAGGCATTAGCTTGACTTCCATTGTGACGAGTCTGTTTCCTGAATCTTATTATTGGATACAGACATTCAATATGCGTTACCTTTTTGAACAAAATTCTCACTCAAAACGGTTTCACGTATCGCCTGGCTTCATACATTCATACATTTGCTGATAACTTTGGTCCATGGGGATATTGGTACGGTTTTATTGTATTCAAAAACCACCCGAGAAATTTTCGGGTTTGCACTAGATTAGCTTAAAATTTGACGAATCGTTGGGTCTCATAGATTTAACTTCTCCGAATCTGGGTATTCAATTACTACCCAGTTTGTTGGTCTCTTTACGCGTATGGTTAGCTCAAGCGAAATTATAACGTTTTTATAAACGCCTCGGCAAATTCTGGTGTTTGCAGTAAGTCAGCTTAAAATTTGTTAAATCAGTTGGACTCAAATATTTATCTTCTCAACAGCTAGGTATTAACTCACTGCGAAGATTGACGGTCTCATGACACTTCTTGGTGACATAAGCCGGTGAAACCGAAGGTCACACAAAGCTTTGAACTAAGAAATTTACTATTCTCTTTGATTTCGGTTTACATTAAATTAGAAGTACCTTAAAATAGAAGCATTGGATTGGCTCTTTAAAACCAGCAGAATGTTGCTCCGATATTTCACCACTTTCTGTTATCTTTATTTTTCATTTTGTGGATAGGTTGTGGGCGTAGTAAGATCCCCTTTCATATTTTGATTAGTAAGCTATGATAAACTTTACAAGCCATTCAAACCGAAATTATATGAAAGACCTAAAACTGGTTCTCGTTGTGATGAAAATACACTTTAGAATTTAGAACGCCCATCTGAATATCGTAGACACTTTGAAATGTGGGCGTCTGGAGGTGACTTGAATCTATGTGCGTTGGTTTTACGATTGGGTGTAAGAATTGGACTCATCCATTCGCAATATACACTCTCGTTCACACGTCCAATCCTCCCAGCTCTACATTTGAAGATTATCAACTGAAATTCAAAGTGACAAAACATCAGGTTCCATATTGAGAAAATAATTATTTTGGTAATAAATCAACCGCAGCACCATTTCGGTATGCAGCTGTCAAATTGCTCGAGGGAAGAACGTGAGCGATCGCCGGATCGCCGGACGGCGCAAGCTTGGACAGGACTACTCGCGTTACCGAGGCTGGATTCGGGACATGGTGGGTGATTTCAGGATACAATTACTGAGTGATTATCCTTAGTTTCTAAGCTAACTTGGACATCCGAAAACAATTTCTACAGATGAAGTTTTACCTTGGTCTGAGGGTGTCGTTTGCTAGGTGAAATATTATTACAAGTCCATTACCATACAAATTGTAAACCCTTACTCAGGCTGTCATTGTGTAGAACGGTATCGCAAATTTCTTACTTCCGACTTGTACAATTGTCCGCTATGCTTGTTAACGATGTGAGCGTTATTTAGAATATGACGCCAAAAATCAACCCACTGGTCGTCGTGGTATATCATCGCCACCAACATCAGCATCATCACCGCTATCATCGTCATGATCGGCGGATTCTTGACATCAGTGTTAAACGCCGATGCTACGATTTGGTACAAACATAATTTATTGCAAGTATAAGCTGTTAAAAAACCACAAATTTCGTTGCCCACATCTCAGACCAAATAGAGACATTGACAACAGGGACAGGAGTGAAATCAATTAACAGCCATATCCGGCAGCGTCTCCAACTTGATTTAGTTTCGAAAAAGTATTTCGAGAATCTGCGAGCCT